AGGGGCGGGCGCGGCTCCGGGGGCCAGCGGCGGTCGGAGCTCGCTTCCCCTGCGCTGCCGCCTCGGGGCCCCGGGGAGCAGAGCGCATCGCGGATCCTCCGCGGGCGATCCCGCCTCACCGTGCGCTTTCTGCCCTGTGTAGCCCCTGCTGGAGGAGGGAGAGACGTGGAAGGACTGTCAGCTCGTCCAGCAAGTGAGCGGCGAGGTGAGGAGGAAACCTTTCACAGCTGTTACGTTGCACCCGCTTCTTCCCCTTGCAGACCTGCTCCTGGAGTTTTCTGACACACCATCCCCACCCTGGCACGCTTTTGCTTTAAAAAAGAATTGCTTTTGTATTAAGAATAAAAATATTAGTATGGAAGAAAAAAACCCAAAAACCACCAAACGTTACTACTTTAGTCAGTAATAACAACCATGCCATCCAAATTTGGCTTTGGTAGTCTGGAACAGTGTTCGAGTGGGTGGCTGGAAATAAATCTCTTACTTGAAATAGAAGTGTAAGGGATGAAGCGCAGAGGTTTTTTCATACTGCGATGATAACTTCCCATTTTGCAACCTGGTCTGACATCAAAATGTTCTTTGTGAAAAAAACACTTAAACCAAAAGCTCTAAGATGAGGAACATCACCTCACACTTTGATCATGTGCAAGTAATAACCAGATTACCTCAGACCACATCACTTTAGAGAGGAAAAGTGTTTTTTTTCTTTTCAGTGAAGCAGTGAAAAAAGTTGTCTTGAGACTCTTTATAGCTTTTTTACTAATGCTGAGTAACACCATTAGTAAAAGTACAGTCGGGTTGCATCTTCTACCTAAAAAATCACCACGATTTTGAACTCCAGGTCGCAAAATGGATTCAGACAAACCGGAGGATCAGAAAAAGCAGCAAAAAGAAAATGAAACAGGATGAAGTTGTTTTCCAGCAGGTAAGCAATCATGATGTCAGTTTGTGTATGGGTCAAAGGGCAGAAGATTCAAAATGCTTTCTGATTATGTCTTCTTAAGCTTGGCAGAGATGTTATTTAGTGTCTTCGACAAGATAATAGTAAATGGATGTTACAGATAAGGTTTCAGAGTCAGTATGTAGATACAATGGCAAGAAATTAATAACCTTTTTAGACGTCTGTATTCAGGAGACAAAATTTTCGTGTATTTGTATTTAACTGGGACATTCTCAGAAAGAGACAGAAGGATGCTTTCATCAGAGAAATAAAGCCCTTGAGAGCTTTTGACAGGACCTGAAGCACTTTTTTCAGATACTGGTAGGTGAGAGACAATTTTTATGGTAGATATTGGGACAATAATATATGTGATGTGCTCGTTGAAAGAAAATATTTGTACTATGTTGTTGACTCTTCATTCAGAGGATGAATTCAGAAATCATCTGTCTGTAGACTAGATTTCAGTTAATGAAAATGTGATGATTATTTTAAAAATTACTACAGAAGATTTAAAAACCTGAATACAATCAAATTTAAACTGGTTTTAAACCAGTGAATTTTGATTAATCTATTGTGAAAGACCTGTTCTATAAGGTTGTGTTGACCATTTAAATTACAATTTGGAGAGGTAAGTTGTTAACTGATACTAAATAGCTGTGTTCTGTCTCTTGAGGGAAAAAAAGGTGAATAAAGATGCACTTCCAAATGCATTATTAGAACTGTGTTTTTTGGTTTTTTTTGCTTGCTTTGGTTTTGAAAACAAATTTATTATTGTATTTTAAAGCTCTTGTTACTTTTAAAGGATTAAAAGAGTAGTGTGTTGGTTTGCTGTTTCGACAGTGCTTCTAAAATGCATCATGAATCATTGCTGTTTCTGTAGCCAAATTCTTGATAGCATGACTGCCAGCTCCTGGGATATGTTGCCTTAGTATGGGCATTGCAAGTATATGACAAATGTCCACAAAGTACATTGTTGTGGGTGGATGATTTACCAGCTCCATGCTTAGCTAAAAATTGCCAAATAGAATCCTTTAATTCATGACTTTTCTTTTGTAGCTGGAATACATAATTTAGGAAATATGTTCTCTGTTGTTGTGCTTTAGAATGGTGTGATCTAAATAGAGATAGCATAAACTGTTTCACCAGGTAATTCCATTTCTGTTCGTATATCTGTATGTGAATGTGTGTTTGTGTGCATGTGTAGCATTTGATTTGTATTTGATTGTAGCATTTGCAATCATTTTATGCTAAGATGAAGAAGATTTTTGTAAGATAAAAATTGTATTGCCTTGGGAATTTGTGGGCAAAATGCATTGATAGTACAAACCAGATTGCATGCATTTTGAAGCACTTTTTAAATGATGCAGAGTAGATCCTCTGTTACACCTTGAACAGCAGGTTTAAAAGTGCTTTATGCTGTTACATCAATCCTACTCTCTTTTTATAGGAAAAAGCTTCATTAGTGCAAAATTCCTTTGTACTAATAAAACTCATTTTCTGCTGAGGGTGTTGTTCTCCAAGTGTTCCATAGTTTGTGAGAGAGAACTTCAGCAGGTACCTTGCAGTGATAGAAATGCAAAACCTGATGTGTAAACATAAGATACACTCGTTGTTTCAAACAGTAATTCTAGAGCAAGGTCTGTGAGTAGACATATGAATTAAAATTGAAGGCAAGCATAACCATTGTATTCTAGTATCTATAAGTATAATTAATTCATGGAGATCCAGGGCAGATTCACAGCACTGCATTTGCAAGGTACTTAACCGCATGGGAGGGAAGAGGTGTAGCAATAATCTTATATTTGATAGTAAACCACTAACTATTCACTGAGATTGGAATTTATGTTGCCTAGAAGATTGACCATGGCAATGGTGACATTTTCAGTAATGTTACAGATAAGAGAATAGCGGAGGAAAAGAGTGAGGGGATCTCTCTGGTGCTAGCAGAGCTTTATTATTTGGTTTCAGAGTTGGTTGCACTAGGTTTCCAGCCTTGACTTACTAGTGCAGTTCCTACTCAGTGTAGGTGGTGCTAACCTCTGTTGCATGAGAATTATTGAATTATTATTGAAGTTGTGTCTGCTTATAGAAGAAATAGCAATGTACAGGAGTTAAAATGGCATTATAAAAAAGTTAAAGTATCTTCAGAAATAAACAAGAAAACAAGAAAGAGAAAAGCATGTAATGGAAAAGTAAGGCTACCTTGAAGATAGCAGAGAAATAGAAATAAAGATGTGGAGTGAGAAGAGGGAGGTGAGAAAGCAAGCAATAATAAACACAAAAGTCAGAGAGTTGGTAGCAGCTCATATTACAACTGTGATTAAAATAAGAATGCTAATGTATTTTGCTACAGCTATAAAACTGAGCTTTGCTTTGATCTTGCTTATCCTTTCAAAACAAGCACCAGCTTATTAAATATAGCTTCTAAATTTTCAAAACAAGCACTAACTTTTTATATGCAGCTTCTAAACTTCCATCTGCCTGTGCTGTCAGACTTTTCACTAAGCTTTCATGTGCCTGTTATGTCCAGTTTTCCTCTATTATTTTTCTTCTTTGTGATAGGAAATCCTATTTCTAATACAAGATGGATGACTTTGCTGTACTGAGTCACTGCCAAATCAAAACAACTGCGTCCAAGTACAGAATCTAGGACAGAAAGATAACTGTATGGAATAAATGAAACTGAATAGTGAAGGAAATATTGCTGACAGCTGCTGAGGAATTGCTTATTGAAAAAAGTTTGCCTTCTGAACAGTTAAGTTTGTAGGAGCTGACTTTACATCCACTTATATGTATTTAAATAACATTTGGGGGATACTGTGTGCTGGATGAAACTATGTTCCTGTAGTGTTAGCTGTGCTCAAGAGTGGAGAAGCTTGTGTAGAAAGGTGTGGTGCTGCTTTCCAGTGTGGATCCACACGGCAGATTACAGCAGTGGAACAGAATCAGTGTGTGAGAAAGACTTCTAGCCGAATAGCTGAGGGTTCTCATACTTTAACTCTTATTTATTTAGGGTTTTTTCTGTTTGTTTGTAAGCTTTTTAAAAATTCTAACCTTTTTGCTCTTCCATCTCTGAAACTCCTTATATTTTCTTAACACCTTTTATTCTAATTTTTTCTTTCCTACTTTTTCATCCCTTATGTCTCTCACTGTCTTCTTTTGACTCTTTTGGTCACCTTCAGTACCATTCATTCCTTTCTATTTACTTTCAGTCTCTCTATCTGTTTGAAAGAAATAAAAAATCAAGTTGAAAAATTGAAAAAAAAAAGTTACCTTTTGTTCACCATGTTTTCTGCTTATAATTTTCTGTAGGTACTCTTCTTACAATGTGTGTACACATACACAAATGTAAATGCATTACTTTTTGCATTTCTACTTTTGTCCTCCTTTCTGTTCTTGTTTTCTATTTTTTTAGTCCTCATTTAATATTATGCTCTTCATATTGTCATGTACCTAGTCAGCATATTTAGCAGTCAATAGGTATATCAATACAGAATGCCATTAGTATGTGAAATTTAGAGAAGGTGTAACACAGTTGGTTAGAATTACTTGGTTAAAATAAGTGTTGTTTTATAATGAAGAGTATAATAGGACTGTTATGTTATAACTGTTGTTATGATGATGATGTTTGTTTTAATAGTTGACTGTGTCTGCTTGAAAAAAAAGATTCCATTATCCTATCTGTGTTAGGCAGAAGAAAATTATCTTCTAGTCAGACTAGTGGAATTGTGGCGTGTGATCTGTATCTGCTGTGGAAAAACATCTTTTCATTTTGAGACTAATTCACTTTTACATGACATTCCGTGTCAAAACATAAAAGCTGATTTGAAAATATTCCAGTGTTATAAAATGTATCATCAGATGACATAAAAAGGATTTAGGAAAAACATTGAAATAAGCATGCATATATATTCACATTAGATAAGGAACATGTTTCCTGCATATGCTCAAAATTGCATTTAACTGTTTCAGTTTTCGTTTGAGTGTATACTGAAACACTGGGGAGTGATTCAACTTTTCCAGAATAATTTCTGCTGCTTTCTCAGAAATACTGTTTTCTTGTGTTTAAAATTTGTTTGCTAACCACTACCAATGTGTCTTTGATTTTTTTCCTATTGGTTGTTGCTATTGATTCTTTGTGTCACTCCAGAGATTTACAATTGTCAGTATTTGAGCTCTGTTAATAACTTGAGCAAAAATTACTTCCTTGATATAGCTTTTAAGTTTCTAATAAAAAATAGAAAAACACAGATCAGTTGTGGGTGATGCTAATGCTAAATGCTGTCTTTGCCCTTTAATAATGAATTCGCCACCAAAAGTGAAACACAAGAAACAAATCTTGTAATTCTGTAAAATGAGTTGTCTTGTTATACAGCAAGTAGAAAATATCTCAGAGTTGCATTAAAAAATACTGATAAAGTACATGTAGTATTATAGAGCTGTTAGTTAACTAGGATATTTATTCAGGATGGTGTGCTTCTGCTAATTTAGGTAACAACTATTAACATATAATGCATAAAAATTACATTAAATCTTTAATTGGCATGTATTTTTTGTTTGTCAAAATGAGCATTTTTATTTGAATCTACCAAACTAAGGATCAAAACAAGGATCAAATCTGAAATAATCTGTTGAGTTTGTGCAGTACTTAACAGCTAAAAGAAACATGGCAAGAAGTCCTAAACTGTTGTTCAGTGATGTTTGAGTGGTGTTATTTGCTGTACCAAATTCTGTTAATTTCACAGAACTTTCTAAAAACCTTGTAAACTGGCCATCACTGATTACAGAATACATTAAATTCCTTTATCATTCAGAAATTTTAATGGAAAATTTTTCCCAGCTCAAGTACAAGACCTGCCATAAATGTTGTTAAGCTGTCTGGGAAATAGACACTATCATTTAAAAGCTTTTTTTATGAGTACATAAGAATATAATTTCAGGCCATTGAAGTAAAGTAATTTTAGTATTTAGTGCTCCATCCTCAA